GGAATGCAGTGGCGCAATCTCAGCTCACTGCAACCTTTGCCTCGTGGGTTCCTGCGATTCTCCTGCCTTAGCCTCCCGAGTAGCTGGGATTATAGGCGCACGCCACCACGGCCGGCTAATTTTGGTATTTTTAGTAGAGATGGGGTTTCACCATATTGGTCAGGCTGGTCTCGAACTCCTGACCTCAGGTGATCCACCCATCTCGGCCTCCCAGCGTTGGGATTACAGGCGTGAGCCACCGTGCCCAGCCTAGGCTTCTACCATTTAATCATTGAAAGGGCCTTCCCACAATTGACTCTTTGGGCCATAATTATATTGGGAGAGATCTGCTCTCCTCAGGAGCATGTATTGAGAGAAAATAACAGAGGGCTGAGAATGCAGTGAAGATCTAGAAAGAGGATAAAGAAGAGGCTGGCCAGCCAGAAGCAGGTGAACCAAGGGGCAGCAATTCATGGAAGCAGACAATGTAGGAGTTTTAACTGGGTGGTGGGAAACACAGTTCCATGGACTTGATGGGAGTATAATTGGAACTTTTGGGAAGGAAATTTGGAACTCTCTTAAGGTTTGAAATGTTCCTGCTCTATGAGCCAATAATTCTACTCAAAGCAGCATTGTTTGTTGTGGTAAAAAGCTGGCAATAACCTCAAATACTTGCATCATCAATAGAGGATGGGTTAAGTAAGTTATGGAAACACATCCAAGTTCTACCAAAGGAAAGTAAAAGTGTATGAGACTACATAAAGCATTTTAGAGACGTGTGTGTTTAGTATGTGTAGAGAAGCAAGCTGGGAGGACCATATATTGGAGTGATCTCTGTGAGGAGTGTTATTACAGAGAACTTTCACTTTCTATGTTTGTATGAAACCAGCATAATATGAAAGATTAATTCGTTGTTTCTGCCACTGTAAGAAAATGGTTTCCCTTCTTTCATTGTTGGTAGAACATATTCTGAGTTCTAGGATCTCTGGTCTCAAGGGCTTCTTTATCCGTTTGTTTGATCAACAAAGGATTGAGTGCCACATTAGACTCTCTTCTTGGTGCCAGGCATATATTAGCAAAGCAGAGTCACTAACCCCACCAAATTTACAGGATTGCTTGTGAAGACAAATCTCAGATGGTGGTAAGTGTTATGGAGAAAGAGAGCAGGAAGAGGGGGATGGAACGCAGCGGGTGGGGACACTAGTTTCCTAAATGTATGTAAAGTAGTCACAGAAAGCCCCATTGAGAAGACAACAGGAAGACCTAAAGGAGGAAGAAAACCATGCAGCTCTTGGGGAAAGGGCCTTCCAGGGGATTGCAAACATGAAGACCCTAAACCTCAAATGTGCTTAATGAGTCTGAGGCCACAAAGAGGGCGGTGTGACTGGAATGAAGGAGATAATTCAGGGGTCAGGGGGAGGGGAGGAGCAGTATGTCTATGGACTTGCCATTGTACCACATTAGCAAGATGAGAAGCCACTAGAGGGTTTTGGACCAACGTTTAGATGATCACTCTGGTTGCTCTGTCTAGACAAGACTAGAGGGGGCAAGAGCAGAAGCAGGGAAGCCCGTTAGAAAGTTACTACAATGATCCAGGTGAGAGAAAACGGCTTGGGCTATGACGGTAGATGTGGTTGGCTTCTAAAAGTAGTTAGGAGGTAAGCTGACGGATTTGTTGGAGACAAGGGTTCGTAGGGCCTGTGATTCAGGGCCTAGTGTTAAAGACTGTCAGACCCTTGAAAGAAGAGACTGTTAGGCCCCTCTCCTACACCTGTTTGAGGCCCAAGTACACCGAGTTACTCCAGAGGCAGCTGGCTGCAAACTGGTGCATTTAGTTGGAGGTGGAGGACAGAACCCAGAGAGAAAGGGTAGAGGCGTGAGCTTTCCTATTAGGGGACAGATCCGTGCCTCGTGTACAGCAGACCCCATCCCAGACTAAGATGGCGGTAGTTGTAGCCATGGGATGCCAGGGGAGACTGCATGCCTAGTGCCTTAACACATTTGGTTTGGAGGAGAAAAAGGGCAGATTGCATTTTCGCCCACCCATACCAAGAGAGGACTCACAGCCAGATTAATTTTATTTAGAAAAACAAAGTGCTATGTCATTTCCCATACCCGTGTTTTATACAGCAAATCTAGACCCGTTATACATATTTTATAATGTTTTACTTTTGTTTTTAAAGACATTTGTGCATTACTTTTGTTATCAGAACAAATACAAACATATTTTAGAAATAACGGCAAAATGGTCAACAGTAATCAATTAATTCAGAGGGTCAGGAGTTTGGTTATTGAGAAAAAAGTAAGGTAAGAAGTGGTGTCTTCAAGGAGGTGGCAGAAGGCAGATGGTAAATGATTAAGAATGGAAAGGACGGTATGAGGAATTGAAGCAGTGAATTTAAGCCTCATTTGAGAAGCTTGGCAAAGGAAGGAAAGAAACAATGAATGACCAGAACAAACATATGCCACGCAATTCTGAATAAAGTTTATTAAATAATATGTACAGCAAATGTAGTAATTCAACACATCTATTTATCAAATCAATCCACTGCAATGAAGAAAAATAAACGAACAGAAAAATCTCTGTCTGCATAGGACATGCTCTCAGTGTGTAATTTAAATGGCAATACTTTAAATTAATTGGTTATATATGTCAGTTATTTTTCTTTCAGAATATAATCTTTTTGTAGTAACCTATTCTAGCAATAGGACTTAATATGACTGCAGATAAATAGGACTGCAAAAACCAAAAAACCAAAATAATGAAATTAAAAAGGAAAAAAAACTATAACTGAGATCATAGTTACCTTCCCTCCCCAATAGAATAATTATCATAAATTTTAACACTTTACAATGTCTATTTTTGTGCTAAAAATCTGTAGATGAGTTATTTGGAATTCCTTCATTTAAATAAAAATGCAAAAAACTTCATGACTTCCTTACTTTACCCCCTTCCATTCAAATTTTTAAAATTATTTTTCTATACAAGGTAGGTACATGGGCTATACAAAGTTAAATATACATATTTACAGTCCCACTTCTTACGCACATGATGTTTTTTTTTTTTTTCTTTTACTGATCCCAGAGAGACTGCAAAAGATAAGGAGTTTGGGGCTTGCCTTTACCTGGAAGCATGGCTAATATATCAAAATGTGTTGCAAGGCATGCCGCCAGTTAGTAGCACTTGCTATTAATAAACCTGTATAAACATTTCAGCATAAAAATAGGTACTTTATATTACTAAATGTCTGAAGACAAAAGAGCAATTGGAAACCTCTGTTCCTTGTTTCATCATACATAGGAAGGCGACGTGATGCAAATTTTAACACACGATTTCATTAAAGACGGGCAAATTGGTGAGGCATACCTGAATTTCTGGAGATATACAAATGCGTGAGGCTGGCATCATATGCAAATGTGGCTTTACAAATTGGTTTTATTTTCTAGCTGTATTTAAAGAGGTGTTCAAAATTACCTACTTAATCAAGAAGCACCCCTCAAAAAACTATTAGATAAGATAGTGTTATTAATCGTTTGCATCTAAAGACCAGGAAATACATTAGCCAATACATTCCAAAATCGGTGAAATGCTGCCGTGCAAATTGCACGTGCATATGCCTTTTTACTATATTCCCTCAGAGACAGTAAAAAAACAACAACAACAACAAAAAAAAACCAGTGCTCTTAGATGGTGGAGCAGACCTTCCAAAGCAATACGTCTTACTCTTACTGGGTCTTAAGGAAAATCAGGACGTCTCCTTCTACCCAGAAAGCTCACCCCTTCCAGTGCCATAGCCTTTTCCCTTGGGATTAAGGCCCTGCTCTGTCATACTTAAAAACAAATGTCTGTGGGAAGAGGTAACTCATTCCTATTATCAATCACTTACACTTTAGTGTGAATGAATTAGTGGCAGTTTCTTTCCTGAGAACAGGATTTGAAAGAACAATAGGGAGAAAGTGAGGGTACTGTGGCTGTCTGGTGGAGGGTGGCAAGCTGGTGGGATCCTAAGATGGGTATTTGTGACAGCAGCTGAGCTACAGGCATTTACAACAAATTTTGACTACCTGTAAAGACTAGACTTTGGGACAATGGTCTTGGGGTAATTCTGAGCTATATGCAGACAGCCAGGGCTTCCTGTATACAACCCTAACACCTATAATTGTTACTCCTATTTGTGAGCTTGGATGTGTATCTGTGGGGGAAGATGACAGTTTGGAGACTCTGGAAAATATTCCAGGTATTTCCAGCTATGAACTACCCTCAGACAAAGGTTTTTTTTTTTTTTGAGACAGAGTCTCTCGCTCTGTAGCCCAGGCTGGAGTGCAGTGGCCGGATCTCAGCTCACTGCAAGCTCCACCTCCCGGGCTTACGCCATTCTCCAGCCTCAGCCTCCCAAGTAGCTGGGACTACAGGCGCCCGCCACCTTGCCCGGCTAGGTTTTTTTTGTATTTTTTAGTAGAGACGGGGTTTCACCGTATTATCCAGGATGGTCTCGATCTCCTGACCTCGTGATCCGCCCGTCTCGGCCTCCCAAAATGCTGGGATTACAGGCTTGAGCCACCGCGCCCGGCCAGACAAAGGTTCTTCCAGCACCCTAGTTGTTTAAAAGTGAGCTAATGGAGATGGGAAATATGGCAATGCTTTCTAGGATTCCTCCAGGGAAAATTCATCTCTCCCTCCCTCACACCCTTCTCAGCACTTATCATGGTCTCTCTTGATTAAGTTCATTTTCCTGTGTCTGTCTCCCCAGTCACCTCGAGTTCCTGGTGGGCAGGGAATGGGTCATTTCTGCATTTGTCTCACTCGGGGGTCTAAGAGAGGCCGACAAACGTCCTTGAGTTGGACAGAGCTGTGACCACGCACCCCAGGTGTCACAGGGGCCTCTTCTGATCTGGCCCCCACAAAGAACAGACGTCCTGGTTGCTGCTGGTAGTGGCAGAATTGCTGCTTCAGTCTGAAGAGAAGCCTTGCCAGGGTGTACTCAGATTCACAACCCTGGTTACCACATTTTGTGTGATCCTTGAACTCCTACAGGGAGTAGATCTGGAGCCACAGCAAACCCTGGGCATGTCTTGCTTTTGGTTGTCCCCCCAGCAGCCAGCATACATTGCTGTATGTTAAATGAATGAATGAACATCATTTTTGGTTTTCTATGAGAATAGGCCTCCCAATTCCAAACTGTCTCAGGCAAACACAAGCCAGAAAAGAAAGGTTAGCAACAGTGCTCTGAAAAATGCAGCTGCGCCGTCCTGAAGGGAACCATTTCTAAAAGCCAAGGATACGGGAAAAGAATGAACCACAAGTGGCCTCCAGAGCCACAGGGCTTCCTGACTTCATCACTCAGAAAACAGACATAACCTATCTGCTTGGCCATCTGCTCCCCGGTTCTCATGGGCAAACCTTGTGTGCTTTTGTCTGAACACCAGGGCAGTCAACGGCACTGCTACACAGCAGGCTGAATGCAGTGGGTGCCTAAGTTTTGCCTCCGTTTCCCCATCCACACCTCAGCAGGTTGAGTGAGGGATTTGGTCTTGGGGCAGTTTGGGGGACTCCACCTTGTCTAGGGGACAGTATTGGCAGCCCAGACTGACCTCCAGCAGTTAGAGGATCAGCTGGCTCCAGAGGAGCTGGGAAATGTAGGCTGGGGGTCTTGGTGCATCCTTGGGCTTGAAGCCTTCAGGATCAATGATTCCTTTGAGATGGGAGCTCTCTAAGGCTGGGGCAGGAGGAGGCATTTCTGGCTAACTCTGATCCCAGACTATGCTTCAGGTCAGATTACCCAAGAGGTGGAGGGGAGGGGAAAGGCTGGAGTGGCTCCCAGAAGCAGCTACGTAAATACAATTTGTCTCAATTCTTTTTGTTCAGCACACTAGTTCAGCCCTGTCTAATACACAGTAACCTTAGACAGGCTTGGGTTTTAAACACAACACTTCTCTGTCCCTGTCTTTTGCTTCTTACTTTATCCACTGTATTAATTTTCCTACTGACTCAACTAAAAAGATCGGTTCATGAATGATGCTTCATCCTCCAATAAAAATAATCTCCATGGTTTTCAGTCTTCTTATAGATACAAAGGTTTTACATAGTTGCCTGGAAAAGTACCAAACTGCCTTGTCCTTCTTGAAGTACCTATAAAAAAGCACACACATACGAAACATGAGAAGACCCACTCATTTGAGTTGAGACAGCACGCTGCAGGGATGTCTGCTCAAACGCCCCTTGTTAACAGTCCTGCAGCTTAGAGAATACCGTATGGTTTCCAAAGTCCTTTCCCCTATCTTATCTCACTTAGGCTGCCAAATAATGCTGGGTGGTAAGCAATGTAGGCATTTCTAGTATTCTTGTTTTTCAGAAGAAGGAACCCAAGTTCAGAGAGTGGAAGTAACATGTCTGAGGTCCCACCGCTTAGTAAGTATCAGAGGCAGAATCTGAACCGAGGTCTTCTGACTCCCAGTCCATTGCTCTTTCCAACACTTCTGCTTTGTGGAGGAATTCACACATTTATCTGACACAAGAAGATACCTGGGATTTAGATTTTCTAAACCACGCAGTTTCTGAAAGCCCACTGACTATGGCCACCCATCAAAAGGAAATTCCTATCAAGCTTGTGCCTAAGCCCCCAGTTGAGTCCCTATCTTTAGTACTAACCTTGTTAGGGCTCCTGCTAAGCCAGGAGCATTGAGCCATCTGGGAACAAAGCCCTTCCTGGGCTGCTCCACAGAGTTCTTTCCCTTGGGATTCTCTCTCTAAAGCAGAAGTGGCAGATATATGTTGTGTCATCATTATCCTCTCTTTAGCAGACATCCCAATTTGATAATTGCACCCTTATCACAATTGGCTTAGATTTGGCTTTGGAATCCTGTTGCACACAACATCTCAAGCACCCACTACCAGTGGGTTGGAATTAGTACCCAAAGTGAAACTTCTAAGCTAAAAAAAATATGTTAAAGCTTAGGACACCTAAAACATCTAGTTGAACTCCTACGGAGAATGGCTAAGAAGGTTAGAGAACTGAGATGGTAGGGTCCAGAGATAATAAGAAACTTGCCTAGGGCCATATAGCTAGTTAGCATCTTTCCTTATGGATGAGAAAAATGAGTTCTGCAAGGCTACTTTATTTGTAGTTTGAAAACGCTACTTTTCGAAGTGACCAAAGAGGCTGGGCATGGTGGCTCACGCCTGCAATCCCAGCACTTTGGGAGGCTGAGGCAGGCAGATCACTTGAGGTCAGGAGTTTGAGACCAGCCTGGCCAAGATGGTAAAACCCCATCTCCATTAAAAATATAAAAATTAGCTAGGCATGGTGATGTTGACCTGTAGTCCCAGCTACTTGGGAGGCTGACCCAGGAGAATTGCTTGAACCTGGGAGGCAGAGCCTGCAGTGAGCCAAGTTCGTGCCACTGTGCTTGAGCCTGGGTGACAAACCAAGACTCTATCTCAAAAAAAAAAAAAAAAAAAAAAGAGTGAAGAGTTCAAGGATGCAAGGAAGATACTCATCTCAAAATACTTCCTTTACCCAGCTGCCTGGCAGGCCTTTGTTAGAGAACTGGTGCTCCTTCCCACACCTAAGCTCTCATAAAAAAATATATACTCCTGAACGAGTTTAACAGCTAGTGCGTACTAGCGCTGCACTCTCTAAAATGATAGCCACGTGTGACTACTGAGCACTTGAAATGCAGCTAGTCTGAAACGAGCTACACTGTTAACTATAAAATACACATTGGGTTTCAAAGACTTAGTATGAAAAGATGTCTGTAAAATAACTCACTAACAATTTTTAATCTTGATTACATGTTCAGATGATAGCATTTTGAATGCACTGGGTTTACAAAATATATTAGAATTAATTTCACTGGTTTCTTTTTACTTCTTTTCAATGTGGCTTCTAGAAAATTTTAAATTTCATACATGGCTTACACTGTGTTTCTATTGGATTGTGCTGCCCTGGAGTGGTCATTGACTTCTCAGACCTGATTTCTTTTTTTTTTTGAGACGGAGTCTGGCTTTGTCACCCAGGCTGGAGTGCAGTGGCGCGATCTCGGCTCACTGCAAGCTCCGCCTCCTGGGTTCATGCCATTCTCCTGCCTCAGCCTCCCAGTAGCTAGGACTACAGGTGCCCGCCACCACGCCCGGCTAATTTTTTGTATTTTTAATAGAGACGGGGTTTCACCGTGTTAGCCAGGATGGTCTTGATCTCCTGACCTCGTGATCCGCCCACCTCGGCCTCCCAAAGTGCTGGGATTATAGGTGTGAGCCACCGCGCCTGGCCTCAGACCTGATTTCTAATGAACAGACGTCTCAAGGTAGTGAGGGCTGTGGGCTTCTGTGGACCTTGGGAGGATGGGGTAGTTCTCTAAGAGGCTGGTGAGCACAAAGTAAATCTTTCTGACTTCTCATTCATGTTGAGGTCTTGTTGTCCTCACCACCACAGTCCTGATATTACTTTGCTTTAACAAAGCTTTGCCAGAAAAATCAGGGAAGGGCTGGTCTTTGGAAAGAAGATGAAGGTAAAGTCACTTGTATGGGGAGAAACCGAGGCGAAGAGTGGGTCAATATCTCCCAACATTATATGCATGCCTGAGCAGAAAGAACACAGATTTCAGGAGAGATGGGTGGCCTGAGTTCAAATCCTGGCCCCACTATTTGCTACCTTGGTGATCTTCTTGTTTGGGCCTCAGTTTTTGAATCTGATAAATGAGGATAATTCTTATCTTACAGGGCTGTTTGTTGAGAGAACGTCAATAAAAGCATAACAAACACAGTGTCTGGTTTGTAACAGAATCTCAGTAAGTTTGATCTCTCTCCTTCTTATACAGGCAAATCCTTTAATTAAGCAGGCTGCTTTGATTAATACTACTGAAAGCCTGGAGGAAACAAGGTCTTTAGAATGTCTACACATATGCCTGAGTTTCATGGTAGAGACACAGGCTCAGTCAAAAATTTTCTTGTGTTATTTCACAAGGGTTTTAAAGATAAAATTTCCAGATGCAAAATAGACACATGCACAATATAAATGTAAGTGGAAACTAGGGCCAGGCGCAGTGGCTTACACCTGTAATCCCAACACTTTGGGAGGCCGAGGCAGGTGGATCACCTGAGATCAGGAGTTCAAGACCAGCCTGACCAACAAGGTGAAACCCCATCTCTACCAAAAATACAAAAATTAGCCAGGCGTGGTAGCAGGTGCCTGTAGTCCCAGCTATTTGGGAGACTGAGACAGGAGAATTGCTTGAACCTGGGAGGCAGACGTTGCAGTGAGCCAAGATCATGCCACTGCACTCCAGCCTGGGCGATAGAGCGAGATTCTGCCTCAATAAATAAATAAATAAAAATAAAAAAATAAAAAATAAATGGAAACCCAATTAATAAATTTGACTACTGCTCTTCTGTGCAGCAGATTTGGTTTCAGGTTCAACATAAGCAACATCCACACCATCCTAATAGCAACACAGACTGGTGGCCCAGAATTCTTCAAAAGCTCAGAAGGCTCTTCTTTCTGTGCTGAGAAGATTGCTTTGCTTTTTTTTTTTTTTTTTTTTTTTTTGAGACAGAGTCTTGCTCTGTGCCCCAGGCTGGAGTGCAGTGGCGCGATCTCGGCTCACTGCAAGCTCCGCCCCCCAGGTTCATGCCATTCTCCTGCCTCAGCCTCCCGAGTAGCTGGGACTACAGGCGCCCGCCACCTCGCCCGGCTAGTTTTTTGTATTTTTTAGTAGAGACGGGGTTTCACCATGTTAGCCAGGATGGTCTCGATCTCCTGACCTTGTGATCCGCCCGCCTCGGCCTCCCAAAGTGCTGGGATTACAGGCTTGAGCCACCGCGCCCGGCCTGCTTTGCTTTTTGCATGGCTCTTCGCCCCCTGTTATTCCCTCAATACACAACTAGTAAGAAAAGCATGATGAGATTCTTACCAACAAACCATCCATCGTCACATTTTTCCATGACATCAACGATATCTCCATCGCGGAGTTCCAACTCATCATCATTCTGTGGTATATAGCTATATAATGCTTGATAGCTAAATCTATACATGAAAAAAATGAATAGTAAGTGACTCAAATGTTGACAGGATTAAATAATGAATTTTTAAACTCCATTTCAAGTTCAATCAACATTTCAGTAGTGTTTCCTACTTATCAGTAGGGATAAAAGCATTTTATTGACTATTTGCCTAATAACTTAGCATTTGCGGAGATGCATTCCACATATAAGTTAATTAAGGCTGAGGGATGGAGAACTTCTGACAAGCAAGCCATGATCAGTCCTCTTACTTAGCTTCATTTGGTCACCACAGCCAAGCCTTTTTTTCTAGAGCACCTCCCACTCTACCCCGACCTCTGCCTTTTTTTTTTTTTTTTTTGAGATGGAGTCTGGCTCTGTCGCCCAGCTGGAGTGCAGTGGGCGATCTCGGCTCACTGCAAGCTCCGCCTCCCAGGTTCACGCCATTCTCCTGCCTCAGCCTCCCGAGTAGCTGGGACTACAGGCACCCACCACCTCGCCCGGCTAGTTTTTTGTATTTTTAGTAGAGACGGGGTTTTACCGTGTTAGCCAGGATGGTCTCGATCTCCTGACCTCGGGATCCACCCGCCTCGGCCTCCCGAAGTGCTGGGATTACAGGCGTGAGCCACCGCGCCCGGCCGACCTCTGCCTTTAAAGCAGTGGTCCCCAACCTTTTAGGCACCAGGAACTGGTTTCGCGGGAGACAATTTTTCGACAGACGGGGTGAGGTCTGGGGGATGGTTTGGGGCTGAAACTATCGGGACATTAGTTAGATTCTCATAAGGAGGGCGTAACCTGGATCCCTCACATGTGCAGTTCACAATAAGGTTCATGCTCCTGTGAGAATCTAATGCACTGGTGATCTGACAGGAGGCAGAGCTCAGGTGCTAATGCCTGGGGATTGGGGACCCCTGCTTTAAAGTAAACCAAGCCTTTTCCTTAACATAGGATAATATATGTAGATTATGAAGCACAATCAAAAATTTGGGCCCAGAGACATTACATTCTGGTCATACAAATGGAGAACATAAAACATTTGTTTTTTTAAAAAGTGTGTGTGTATAATAGCCATATATAATACATATAATAGCTATATATATGCTATTAAAAGTACATTCCAATTGCTTCACTGTTTAGCAAAACTATCTTGAGTTTCTTTACATGCCTGAACACATTTCATTCACTGCTTTTAAATGTGCATGTCATTTTTCTGAAACCCTTGAAAGCTTTTTTTCTTTTTTCTATCCCAGTGAGCACTGAGGGCAAGATTTTTATTTACTTGATAGTTGGCCTAAGGCATTGGGTCTATGCTGTTTTGTCTGTTCTAACAGCCACTGGAGACAGCTGAACTGCTTGTGGTGAAATCTGATCCTTGCTTTGGCATCGAGGAAAAGCTTTGTTTTTATTTATTTCTTCAACAAATACATAAGAGGCACCTACTATGCACCAACTTCACAACTCTGTTTATTATTTTGAGACACAACAGTAGCAGGCAAAACTGTAAATGAGCCAATCATCTACCATTTCCAGTAGATGTCAATGAATTCCAGTGTGCAAGCAAGAAAGACTAGAAACAAGCAAGTGGAGTCAGTTCCCAGGAACGAGAGGTTCATTCTGCTCTGCTAAAACCAAAGGGACAACTTTACTTTCCATATTTATCCAAATGTATTGATAATTTGGTGGATGGATCTGGTTGCCAGAAGGAAGGTCTCAAATGAGGAAGGAATTAAGAGATGAAGATCAATTTCCAATTGGTAAATACTTTTTTTTTTTTCATGTTTCTGTATTTGCCTGCTGTCTCCTACTCAATTTGGAGTCCCCTACTGGCCTCCCAAAACATGCTCTTGCCAGTTTCTTAGAATGCCTGGGCCCTTTAACTCCCACCATAGCTGCTTTGCCAGCCTCAGCCCTGGGAAATAACTCCAATATCTGCTTCTCTGTTTTCACTCCCAGACAGTGGAGACTGGCTGGACAAAGTCCCACACTCTTGTTGCTTGGGTCCCCCAGTCAGCTCTAATTTGGGATGAACCTCATACTCCTCAGAACATTGTACCATGGGGTCCTTCCCCCAGCTCTCCTGCCAATCCTGGTGTCCCCAGCTCAGCCAAGAGCTCTCACTCTACCCCACTTCTGGAGTTGGAAGCTTCCTGTGGGCAGCACCTTAATCCTCCTCCCCTCCAGATTTAAGTTTCTGTGCCTCCACTCACCTTCCTGCCCCTGCTCCCACACGTGAGGAAAGAAAGGTCCCTTCTCCAAGCCATGTTGAACCCCCTTTCCTGGGCTCTTCCTTCACTTACTTCTTTTTTTTTCTTTTTTTTTTTTAAGACAGAGTCTTGATCGGTCTCTAGGCTGGAGTGCAATGGTGCAATCTTGGCTCACTGCAACTTCTGCCTCCTGAGTTCAAGCAATTCTCCTGCCTCAGCCTCTGGAGCAGCTGGGACTACAGGCGCGCACCACCACGCCCAGCTAATTTTTGTATTTTTAGTAGAGACAGAGTTTCACCATGTTGGCCAGGACAGTCTCGATCTCTTGTCATCGTGATCCACCCACCTTGTCCTCCCAAAGTGCTGGGATTACAGCTGTGAGCACCTGGCCTCACTTAGATCTTATTTGAGTCAATTGGCATTTTACTCTGGTACAAATGTGCTTGTCTCTGCACCCTAAAAACACCTCCCCTGCCTCTGCTATTCCCTTGATCTATAGCCCCCCGCCTTCCACTCACCATCGACCCTTCCTAATACAGCACCTGCTGCCACCCCTACTAACACCAACCCTGCCATATCAGAGGTCACCAGGGATTTTTCCAGTTGCCATGGAAAATGCCTGGTGGAAATTTCTCATTTCCCACTCTTGGCCTCTCTGGGCAGGTGACACTGCTGACCAGATGCTGCAGCTGTTCTATGAAAGCGAACATCTTTAGACCTTCACTGGCATCTCCTGTTGCCCCTTCTCTGTCTCTGTGGCTGGCTAGGCTTCTTTACCTGTATCTCTGTTGGTAATCATACTCACTTCGACGGTTACAAAATGCCCACTGTGTCCTGGCTCAGGCCCTCATGGCTTCTTAGCTGGATTGATGTCTTCTAACAAACATCTTTGTCCCTGGTCTATGAAATCTACCCTCCACTCTGTTGCCAGAGTTATCTCCCTGAAACAAAATATGATCAATATGTTCCTTACTTCAAAAACCTTCAGTGGCTCCCTAGTACCTACAGAATAAAATCCAAACTTACTTCAACTGCATTCTGGAATCTACAATCTGGTCCCATCCCACCTCTGGGCTTCATCTCTATCTCTTCCATGAAGCATATGCTGCAGCTACACGGACCCTTTCAAGTTCTCCAAATACACCCACTCTATGGCTTTGCACATGCGGTCCTCATCTCTGGGAAGATATTTTCCTCCCTTTTCTAGCTCTCAGAAACCAATTTGTCTTTCAGTGTTTAGTCCAAATCTCTCTTTCTCTGTGCACAGAGTTTTCTCCAATGTGCTTAAAACATAGGAGGTATCCAATAAATTTTTATGAATGAATGAATGAAGTAACCCTTCATTCATGGCTGGTCAGAATTAACCATTCCTTCCTCTAACTTCCTGCTACACTAGCACTGAAACCAGTCAGCACAGCTCTCATTTGCCATTCTACAGCAGTTAATCTTTACCTGTCTCTCTCTCCCAGCAGTCTATGACGGCCTTTATTTACCTGCCACCTGTTTTCACCTCGGCTGATGCGGAACATGTCCTTCACTAGAAATCCTTAGGAGAGAACCTGGGAGTAATTCACTCATTTCTGCAAACAACTGCCCCATATTCAGCCAGTGACCCACTTTCTAAGACCAACAGTCCTCTGAGAACATGAGAACTGAAGTTCACCAGGAGTACTTACAAATCTTGTGAGGTTTGACTCCTGTCGGGGGTGACTCTTCGCTGCTGGGCTTGAGGTTGCTGAGAAATGATTAAAGATGATTTATTGTCAGAAGGGGATACCTTGTGATGAAAGTCAAGGGGATGAGAAACAGTGCTGCAGTAATGAACAGATTTTTCGGCAATGTTTATGATCTCATTGCAAACCGCTTCCTGTGAGGTGGCCCCAAGAGATCCAGAAACCCCAATAAAACAGTCAACATGGGGACAAAAAAAAAGAAAGAGAGGAAGAGATGTAACATTCCAGACGAAGCACATAAGTCCAGGGAGAAAACAGAGTTGAAGATCCAGGTTAAAAAAATAGATATTCCAGTAGTGGAGTGCAGGAGGGATCCAGGCGTAAGCATGGAAAAACAGGTAAGATACAGAAGAATTTGGAATTTAGTAAGAATATTAAAAAAAAAAAAAAAAAAGGAAGCAGCATAAAAGCCTGTAATTAGTGAGTAACTGTTACAAATGGAATACTTTAGGGTAGAAATGCAAGTATGTATCCCCGATCATGCACTAATACATTAATTTAATCCCACATACAGGCAAAGTAGAAATATTGTCTCTAAATTCCTCTGCTCTTTACCAGGGGCTGGGGGTAAGGGAGTGGCCTAACATCTCGCTCTACTACAATAGCCACAGAATTCTTGTAAATAATGTTTCTGTGGGTTAACCAGGCATCATTCTAGTCTAGATTCCAAAAGCAGGATCAGTAAAAATTCTCTTTGGAAAGGCTGCAGTCTTATTCAACAGGCATCTTACCACATAGCTCTTTTCAGATTCTGTGAGATCAGGTCCTGCTCTCAATGAATGATGAGAAAGCTGTGATCACCAAGCAAATTATAAGGGAGACATTTTAGCAGATGTCACATTGGAAAGGATTCAAAATAAAAGCATGAGCAAATCCACGTACCACACCATCACGCTTGGATGACACCGGATACTGGCGGCCTATGGCCACCAAGTCTCCACAACAACACGGTGGGTGCACAGAAGAAAATGCAAATGTAGAGTTAGAAGCAAGCATCCGGGAAGTGAAATGGGAAACTGGAAACATGGCTGCAGTGAGGTGAGGATGAACAACACAGGGTCCCCAGATTGGTAGGAGAGAGACTCAGAAAGGCCATCTTAGCCATGTCCCTTCACACATATTGGTCCCCTCACGCTCGGCTAGTAAGTATCTAGGGAAGGCTGCTGAACCCAAAGCCAGTTTTGGTTATTTTGTTGACAGGAAGCTCCCTCTAGCAGAGCAGGCCCGTAGAACCATCAGGTCTGCTGTACTTCAGAAACTTATAAAAGGGAATAACATTTTGAAAACTTCCTTGGTAATATTTGAAGTATCAACCAAGATCATTCCCCTGGAAAAATCTGCAAATGACACACTCCAGTGAGGTATGAGATGAGTTCAGATAGCTTGTAGGACAGAGCTTGCTTCCAGAAATAGGACTGTGTGTGACAAAACTGTCACTCTTCACTTACCAACCCAGGTACCACATGCTGACACAGAAACACATGGTCAAGCAGACCCGCCTTTTGAGTGGGGCTTCCATTGCAGGGGCCAGGCCTTCACTGGAAGAGTGTTTAGAACCATGTCCCCCAGAGAGGATTCAATTCTAAGCTCTAGGAAGTTTTTCTAAATAAATACCCTGAAGAGCCAACCTTGAAAAAATCCTCCAGGTAACATGCAATAATAGCAACAGCCCGGCCAGGCATGGTGGCTCATGCCTGTAATCCCAGCACTTTGGGAGGCCAAGGCGGGAGGACTGCTTGAGCCTGGGAGTTGGAGACTAGCCTGGGCAACAAAGCAAAACCCCGTCTCTACGAAAAAAAATACAAAAATTAGCCAGGTGTGGCAGCATATACCTGTAGTCCCAGCTGCTTGGGATCAACTGAGCCAGGGAGATTCAGGCTGCAGTGAGCCATGATTGCAACACTGCACTTCAGCCTGGGTGACAAAGCAAGACTCTGTCTCAAAAAAAAAAAAAAAAAAAAAAAAAAAGCAATAGGCCACAATTCCAGACCTTCTAGACACACACTTAGAAATCTTTTGTGTATGACCCACTTGTTTCACAGAGAGACAGAGTGAGTGAGAGCCTCCCCTGAGGTTACACAGCAAGTCAGTGGTAGGCTTTTCTCCTGGCTTCATCTATTGTCCCATCTGACCTTGTCTTTCATCCTCAGACCATCTTCTACTTTATAGAGTGTGCTCATTGACCTCATCTTCAGTGAGTCCCTCAGAAACCCTGGAGTCAGGAAAGACAGGGTTTGTCATTGTTTTCTTTAAAAACCCAGGAAGCTGATGCTCAAAGGGGTGTCGTGCATTCCTCAACATCACACAGCAAGTAAGAGGTAAAGTGGCTTGGCTGCTCTTTCCCCTCCACCAGACCACCCCCTCCTGTTCACCTCCACTGGAAATGTCTTCATCCTTTAGCAAGCCCTGCAGGACTAACTTCCATTGCAGGCATCATTTCAATACCCCTGTCCTTTCAGGAAGCCTCTTCAAGTTCTCCAAACCCCCTCTAAACTGCAACCACTCAAACCAGTCACCTTGCACTCTGACGGGAGCAAAGGAAGAGGCAGAACTAAAGGGGCCATGTCATGCTCCTTCTGCAATGACTCTGGATGTTAGGTCTTTGCCGGGTGACTGGGAGCCGACCTCCACTTACCACCCACACTCCACTCACCGCCTCTGGATTAAGGTGTCCATATCACAAAGGAAAGAAATGGACATTTCCAAGTAACTTCTATGTGGGCTTTCAGAAGAATGAAACTTACTCTGGGCACCTTGAGTGGGTGATAATGATATGCAGATTTTAACATGACAGAAGGGAGAACTTCCAAACAATCCAACAATACAAGGGGCTGCCACAAGAGGAAATGAGTTGGCTGCCACGGCAGCTGTTTAAGCTGAGGCTGCTGTGGACTCTAACTAATTGGGATATTGTAGAGCCATCCTTCTTAAACTTTAATGTATATATACATATCACTAGGGATCCTGTTAAAATGTAGACTCTGACTTGATACACCTGGACTGTATTATGAAATTCTGCATTTCTACTTGGGATAGTACTGATGCTGCTGGTTCACAGACCAACTTTAGGCAGCAAGGGTGCAGAGGACCTCAACTGCCCTACACTGAGATTCTTTGGCTACAGTATGCCAAGACCGGTGGTCTGGGTCACACCTCATGAAAACAAAAGTTCTCATAAAAAATAAAATATTTCCAAATTCCAGCTGGTGGCCTCATGACCTCAGGTCAAATGCAGTACAAAAAAAAAAAAAAAAAGAGAGGATATAGACAATCTCTTGGCAAGATCTCCATAGCTTACAGAAACCTAGCATCCTTCCACTCAACTTCACTCATCCCAAAGGAGTGACTGGAATCAATTATCTGGCAAACAATTTGGTGCTGAAAAGAGGATCAGTGAATCAAATACAGTAAAAAGAACCTGATATTTTACAAGGATATATAGGTCCATTACATACCTGACTTTTGTATTAACCCTCTGACTTGAGGAGTGCAGAATAAGGATTTTAAGGCTTAGAGGAGTTCCATCCCAGGCACTACTTTTTTTTTTTTTGAGACAGAGTTTCGCTTTGTCACCCAGGCGCAATCTGGGCTCACTGCAACCTCCGTTTCCCAGGTTCAAGCAATTCTCCTGTCTCAGCCTCCCAAGTAGCTGGGATCACAGGCGTGGGCCACCACATTCAGCTAATTTTTTTTGTATTTTTAGTAGAGATGAGGTTTCACCATGTTGGTCAGGCTGGTCTCGAACTCCTGACCTCAAATGATCCACCCACCTCGGCCTCCCAAAGTGCTGGGATTACAGGCGTGAGCCACTGTGCCTGGTCCCACTTCTATACTCCTGTCCTTTTGGGAAGAGTCTTTGAGTTCTCTAAACCCCTTCTAAACTGCAATCACTCAAACAAGTCACCTCAGACTCTGACAGAAGGAAAGGAAGGGACAAAATGAAAGGGCCCATTTCATGCTTCTTCTACAATGTCTCAGGACGTTAGGCCTTTGCCAGGTGGCTGGGACCTGACCTTGTGAGGTTTGCACAAAGTAGTGTGAGAGCTGAGCCCTTTGACGTCTAATCTCCATATACCACCTGCCACCTCCCTCTTGAATCATGATTAGATTGCTTGTGTAACTATGATAGCAATACCCAATTTCTGCCTTGTCTGAAAACAGGCACTATCTATCATTTCTCTTCTTGAATACTTTTTACTCTAGGTGTTCAAAGACATTTCCTTATATAAAAGATACGGTGTATGGCAATAGCATCCAATCATTAATTGTGAACTATAGTACCGAAAGGGATATTGATGGCCCACCTTGTACCTTCCTTGGTCTCAGGCCATACCCCAAGCTAAGGATAATCATCATCATAGCTTTAACATCTGTATAGTACAAACTTAACCCCATTCCTAAGAGGTAGGGATGACTGAGTGCCTCACTTAGCGTTTGTTGAATAAATGAAGGAAGAAGTCAAGATAAACATTTATTCTATTAGCTAAGACTCAATTTCTCTCTGTTTAGATTTAAGTGAAATAGCTTACATAACTGAAATGTAAACCAGTTTTTTTTTTTTTTTTTTTTTCAGGGGACGGAGACATGGCATGGGGGTAGACCCTCAGTGGAAATGGAAACCATCACTATCCATCACAAGAATCAGCCCTTCATTTTGAAGGCTGTTTATCCTCAGATTTTTTTCCCCCTCTAGGTATGTTTTCTTTTCCTGTCCCCATTTTCTAACCACTTTACAGCTTTGCATAGTGCTTCTTCTGGACCTGTCCTGTCCAATATGGTAGCCAGTAGCCACAGGTGGCTGTTGGACACTTGAGATGTAGCAAGTATGAAGTGAAACGTGTTATGTGTAAAAACAGACACTGGATTTCAAAAACATAGTACAAAATAAAGAATGTAAAATCTCAGTAATAATTTTTAGATATATTGGGTTACAATCTATTATTAAAATTTCAGTTGTTCCATTTTACTGTGTCTACTAGAACATTTTAAAATCACACATGCGGTTCACATTATATTTCTACTAGACAATGCTGCTCTGAACCCTCCCCAGGTCTTCAGGGTCTGCCCTTATTTAAGCCTAAAAGAAGATACAAATTCTAACAAGGATGTCATTAGGGTTAAGAGTAAAGGGAGTATATCTCATGCTAAGGACATTTCCGACTCTGGTGATGGCATTCTAGTTTTTCACGTGTTTACAAAAACAACCAGCCCAGCACATGCACACACACACACACACACACTCCACTTGCCTCCTTTCCCCCATTAATAGTAAGCAGATAACAGTCCATGATCTAGAAACTGCTTTCTTCTGTATTTATACACAAGTCGCCTCTCCCGGCCTGGAGTGCTTGCTTCATTCTCCCCAATTGGGTGAACCTGCATGCGTCCTTGCTGTTGCCCTTCTACCTTCAGTTCACAGAAATCCCCCAGAAATCAGATCTTAGCCTCCCTGGAGCTGTTAATCCCTCTGGATCCACAGAACACCTGGCGCTACTGCGGAGTTACTAAGCATCCGCTTCCAGCTTTGGGTGTGCGCCAAGGCCTTGTGGACCCAAATCAATTGCACACAGGCTACAGAACAGCAGGAAGTCCTGAAGATGTGGACAGGACAGAGAAACTCAACTTCCCCCTGGCCCCAAATCCCCTCTAGAAACAGCGCGAGGCTCTGCTGCTCCCCTAATCTGCCCAAGTCTCACAGAGACGGCACTCCTCTAGTCGTCTCACGTCCCAAGTCTTCTCAGACCCCACCCCACCATTCTCGTGACCTACCCTGACCTCCCAGTGGGACAGT